GGTGTCCACGAAACATAAAATGGATAGGTTGGGGTGATAGACACTGGACAGGGACATCCTCCAACTTGATCACGTATACTCCTAAAGTTTTATTATTTAAAAAAAAAATCATAGAAGATTGCCCCTTGTTCAGGGATGTGAAAGCATTCACATGTTTATTCAAATCTTTCATGAAGGCCTCCCCGAAGAGCTTGCCCTGTGCCTGTCCGCCAATTTTCTATCAAAGTGGAAGAGTGCTGCTTTGCATCTCTCTCTAAAGAGAGTGCTACATTTGTGTTTCCCAGAAAACAGACCAAACTTCATACTTCATACATGAAAAAATAAATAGTTGACGCAGACTACAAAAAATACAACACAAAGAAGGCTTCTAAATTGCCTAGCTAAGAGGGGGATTTGGGGATTTAGTTCCACCATATGGCCATATGATGTTAAGCCCACCATGAAGTTTGGTTACTGCGGCAGCACCTTTCTTGCAAAATGCAGGTCTCGGGTGTGCCCCCAATCCTTTCTCTATACACAGTATATTTGGAATCCAGACCAGATTCCTTTGGGGTTAATCACCCCGCCCAGGCCCCCCAGCTTCAGAGGCCCCTTTAGAGGTTTCCACAGGTATTTATATAGGAGGAGTTTTCAATAGTCAGGTCACTTTTATTATTTTCTCCATTCAACACAGATAGCATCTGCAATAGTGAGTATACTCATTCTAGCACTAACACTTTAATTGTGTAGTTTTAACACTGTTTTTAATTGCTTTCATCACTTTATTTTTATATACTCACTTTGCTCTTACAAGAATTTCATACACTTTATTTTTAACACTAGTACTATTTAATTTGTCCCTCACATTTTAGCGTAGGACCCACCAATATTGGGGTACTTTGAAAGCAGTGGTGGGCTTAATATCATATGGTGGAAATAAATCCCCATATTTATTCTTAGATAGGCAATTTAGAAGCCTTCTTTGTGTTGTATTTTTTGTAGTCCTAGTGCGCCGCAACTATTTATTTATTCAGTGACAAGATTGTAGACCTATACAAGGCTGGAATGGGCTACAAGACCATCGCTAAGCAGCTTGGTAAGAATGTGACAACAGTCGGTGCGATTATTCGCAAATGGAAGAAACACAAAATAAATGTCAGTTTCCCTCGGTCCAGTGCTCCATGCAAGATCTCAACTCGTGGAGTTTCAATGATCATGAGAACGGTGAAGAATCAGCCCCTAGTTACCATGAAAACAATTGGTAACACACTACGCCGTGAAGGACTGAAATCCTGCAGCGCCTGCAAGGTCTCCCTACTCAAGAAATGTACAGGCCCATCCGAAGTTTGCCAATGAACATCTGAATGTTTCAGAGGAGAACTGGGTGGAAGTGTTGTGGTCAGATGAGACCAAAATCAAGCTCTTTGGCATCAACTCAACTCGCCATGTTTGGAGGAGGAGGAATGCTGCTTATGACCCCAAGAACACCATCCCCACCGACAAACATAGAGGTGGAAACATTATGCTTTGGGGGTGTTTCTGCTAAAGGGGCAGGACAACTGCACCGCATCAAAGGGACGATGGACAGGGCCAATGAGAACCTCCTTCCATGAGCCAGGGCATTGAAAATGGGTCGTGGATAGGTATTCCAGCATGACAATGACCCAAAACACACAGCCAAGGCAACAAAGGAGTGACTAAAGAAGAAGCACATTAAGGTCCTGGAGAGACCTAACCAGTCTCCAGACCTTAATCCCACAGAAAATATGTGGAGGGAGTTGAAGGTTCGAGTTGCTAAACATCAGCCACGAAACCTTAATGACTTGGAGAGGATCTGCAAAGAGGACTAGGACAAAATCCCTCCTGAGATGTGTGCAAATCTGGAGGCCAACTACAAGAAACGTCTGACCTCTGTGATTGCCAACCAGGGTTTTGCCACCAAGTACTAAGTCAAAGGGGTCAAATACTTATTTCACTCATTGATGCAAATCAATTTATAACTTTTTTGACATGCGTTTTTCTGGATTTTCTTTTTGTTATTCTGTCTCTCACTGTTTAAATACACCTATTATTAATATTATAGACTGATCAATTCTTTGTCAGTGGACAAACATTCAAAATCAGCAGGGGATCAAATACTTTTTCCCTCACTGTATGTGGGTCCCTGCTTTCACGGGCCATGAAAGCCAACATCAGCTAGTCAAATGGCGCCATTACAACTTTGTCCGACAATGAAGGCCACAGACATTCAGACCGCAAGCAGTTTCAGACTTTCTTCTCCAATGGCTTCCTTAGCCACATGTGCATTCATTTCAAGACTCGGTCAGGCAGTGTTTAATCCCCAGAGCAGTGTTGACCCATAGCATCTAGAACATCCTGTGCATCTGCCTGGGAAGGCGCCTTCCGCACCATCTTCGCCTTGCAGCACCTGGGGCTCACCCAGGAAGCTTTCTTTCACAAACGTGGAGTCCGTCCTCTCAGTTGAACCCCAAGTGTCATAGTTCGATGCAGAGGCATCTGCTTGCTACTCATTAAGTAGCATGAGGAGTGAGGAGTGACCTCATGGCTGGAAAGGAGCGTGTAGCTTGTCACCTTTATGGGGCTTTGGGCCCTTGAATGATGTAGGCTGAGCCCCTTTGCCCTCCAGTGGTGTTTAGAGGGCGCGAACACTCCCTGGTAAGAGGCAGGGTTCAGTGTATCCATCCCTATAGTGGGCACGTTTAGTGGTAGACTCAACTTTAGCAAGGTCAGAGCTCGCCAGGAACTCCTTGAAAAGTGCCTTTAATCACAATCACAGGCCGCTGGGGCTCACCCAATGTATAAAGTACCACAAGGGTAAAAGTACGTAGGCAGACAGACCACAGTAATACCTATCAGACACTAAGGGTAGTGATTGGCGTGGGACCAGGAAGTATGGGCAGGCAGTTGGACAGTATAAAATCAGGCACAGTAAGAACAGGCCGCATAATAAAGATGGTCAAACAACTGGAGCTCACCCAGTGTAGGAGACAGCAACAGCAGGCTCCCCTAAGCAGCCCAATTACATGTAAGTAATAAGGGAAGTCACCCCATAAACTAGTAGGGCAATCAGCACTGTAACCACAACTGGTTCCTATATTTAAAAGAAGAAAAACTACCACAACAAGAGGACATCTTAAATTAGAGGGGCAAATGTTTAAAAATAATATCAGGAAGTATTACGGTGACAGACCTCTCTGTCTTTGGATTATTACCATTTCACTGTGATTCGTCTGTTTTTCAGTATTTGCCCTTTGTCCGTATGGCTCTGCTTTTATTTGTCTAAATACGAATAAACTACCGAACGGCCGGTCACCCAGCAGGGAAGTGTGCTGCTTGTTAACCTTTCTGCCCTCATTAACATTGTGGTTAACCGCAGACACTTCCAACTCCCGATTGGTCGGCTGGGTGGTCGTTGTTCGCATGAACGAACACGTGGCGGCGGCCATCTTGGACAGTCGAACACCCAGCAGTGTTCATTGACAAACTCGTGGAACTAATATCAGACACTATTTCCCACGAACACCGCTGAAGTCGCCGACCCTTCCTCGTTAAGTTCCAGGTTCATACGAACGCCGTGCTGTTTGGTACATTGATTCTATACGAACAGAATTGCCTCAGATAGAAATCCCATGGATCCCATTAGTTTAGTCGAAAGCACCCTGAACAGAACTTTGGCTCCATGGCGATTGAACTGTGTGTATGGGATCTGAGCGGTGTTCGGTTATATTGTGAGCTCAGATCTAAGCTATCTGGGGATTCTGTTCGGTAGTTTGGGAAATATATATTTTTATGTGTTTTACTGCTGATATAAAATGGAGGATATTCTCTATCCTTGGAGGTCATTGAATTACTTCTAGCACTTAACCCAATTATCTCCAGGATAGAGAGGAGGAGTTGGAATGTTCATGTGGGAGTGTTTGTTACTGTACATGCATGTGATTGGTTACTGTACAAACTTGTCTCAGTCTTCCACAAGGTCCCTATGGGAGTGTCCCTTGCTAGAAGACCAGCGTAAAAGACGGGCATGTAGCCCACATTAAAGAGATTCTGCTTAACCCTCAATACAGAGCCTCGTCTCGTACTTGGGGGGATTATTTGTGTGTTTCCTGTTCGGCGTTTAGGAGTGTTCGGTAGCTGACTTCTCATTCGGGAAAGGGAACATCTTTGGTGGTGTTAACCCCTTCTATACCCGGGGTGCTGTTACAATTACTTTACTGAGAGGGTAGTGAATGTTTGGAATAGCCTTCCAGATGAAGTGGTAGAGATATCAGAAATCAGCACTTTTATAAATTAATTAGGTAGCACCATACTGGCTGTCAATCAAACAGCCAGAGTGGATTCCTTCCGACTTCCCTCCCTCGGGGGAGCTAACGGAAGTGGCAGACGTGCTCTACTTGAGCGTGCCTGCCTCCCCCCTCCCTCACGGTCCTTAGACCAGCTCCTCAGCTCCAGACGTGAAGCCTCTGATTGGCTATTTCCCTGTGAAGAAGCTGAAAGTCTCTTCCGGTATAAAGCAACTTTACCTTTTGTGGGCTCTTTTAGACTATATTCCCAATGAATACATACAGCAAATGATATATTAATGTATTTATTGGGTATATATCTACTAAACTGTGGGGTTTTATTTTGGAAGCGTGGATGGGTCATTTAAGGTTGGACATGACGTAGGCAATCCTCTGACTTGGTGTCACACTAACTTAGGACAAGATGGCATCTTACAGTCTAAACATCACATTCACGACCGTAGGTAAAAGGTAGTTTATTAAAGAAACACTGTATGAGAATCAATATGTTCCATTTCTAGTAAATTGTTAGTTTGCAAAACCTCTAAAAGACAAAGTACACGGTTTAAGAAATACCTCTTTTCATTCTTAAAATCTGTAATATTTGCATGTACATATAACAGAACCTACTACTTAAGTAAAACCTCCAGAGTCAATGCACTGACCTTAAATTCAGTCCCTAAGCACAGGCAGCTAGAATTTATTGTATAAAGGTATAAACTTGTAGAATCCCTGTCAAATTGTGCATGTCATCCTTGCGCAGGGGTCGTGCTAATCTTCTCAGTATCATTCCAATTTCCGTATATGTACAAAAGTGAGCACCAACAGGAGCAGTGAATCAGGCCGAGTGTGCAGGCAGGGTCTGCCAGAGAAAGGGGAAAACAGTAATGGGACAGGAAGAGCCTGCCAGGATAGGGACAAATAAGGCCCAATGTGTAAGCAAATCCTGCCTGGAAAGGGACAAATAAGGCCCAGTGCACTGGCAGAGTAAGGAGAAAAACGGTAATGGAGCAAGCAGAGCCTGCCAGGAAATGGACAAACAAGGCCCAGTGTGTCGGCAGTGACAGAAAAAATGGGAAAACAGCATTGGGGAAGGCAGAGCTTGTCAGGAAAGGGACAAATAAGGCTTAGTGAGAATGCCGAGCCTGCCAGAGAAAAGGGGGAGAGAATTAAGGACTAGTAGTTATAGGAACACAAACAGATCCCACACTAACACGACCCCCCAAAAAAACCATCAACAACAAACAGCAGTCACAATACAGCAAACTAACACAATAGTACAATATAGAGAGACAGTGAAGCTGGCATAACTAAGATTTAGTGTTGTAATAGTTAATAAAATGACATTGATCTAGAAATGTAATATAAACTTTATAGAAAATATTTTTAACTTGTCACAACAACATTGTGATAAGACTAGAAACTGTTGTCAATGCCCTTAGTGATATAGTGGCATCCCATGCACTAGAAACTGTAGATGAGTCAAAAAGTGGACAATGGAAGTGATCTTTATGCAAGAAAATCTATTAAATTATTATCAGAAATTTTACAGCATAATATATAGATTAAATCAATACCTACTTAAAGATAAAACTGTCATCCACACATTTTATAAAGGACAGGCTTTCTTAATAAAAATTAAAAAAATGTATGGGTGCATGGCCAGACCTCCAGCTGGATGGTGGTGTAGTTGAGTAACTCTGCCCCCCCAAAAAAACATTCAGTGCAATAGAGGTGCAAAATTTAGCCCAAGCACAGTGAAAATCAAATGGCACAACACAGGCTGTTGAGAGCAGAGATAAAAATGCCTTCTTTGTGGTCCACGAGACACAAGAAAAGCAGACTGTCTTACAGATCCAAGATGGCCAGGTGAGGGCTGGCAGCCTTAGGCCTGGGGGGCAAAACCAGTCAAGTGGCTCATTGCACCACCAAATCAGTTCACCATCCATGCCCACCTTTTCCTGGTTTTATAACGGATATTGATGTTATGCTAATCAGTAGCTCTTTGCCATACCCGCTCCTTCACGGCTCTGACTTTCAATGTTGTCAGAGCGCAGGCTGAGAATCTCTGAGCCTGTGCTTCGACTCACTAACTGAGCGCCGGAACCACGAGGGAAAGGATATAATCTGACTGCATCTACTGCTGGTGCGCACTAGTGGACCACCAGCGAATCGTTTAAATTTAATATGCTGGTGTACCCAACTTGTGAGCTGTGTTGGCCGCCGGGCGCCGATGTTGTCATGGCACCCTGCGTGACCGCACAGCGTGCACACCCCATCGGCTGGCCCTGCTGACACACACTGATGTTACTACTTAGAAATCCCTCAATATTAATACCAACATCAGAGTAAACACCAATAAACTGTGCAAACAGAGCTGATCCCCCCAAATTTAATAAGATTTGCTTAGTGGATTTGTTGTAAGATTAAATCATGCCTCCTCCTCTCTCTCTCCCAGGCGCTGCTCTGTAGGCTGGGAGTAAGTGAAGAGTAATCACATTCTCCCAGCACAGCGCCACCTGTGGCTGCATGGTGAACAGCTGTTTAATGTAATGCTTGCAGGACGGCCAGCTGCCGCAGAACCTCTTTGTTCCCGTCGCTGCAAAGAGCTCCAGGCACTGCTTGCTGTGAGTGTGAGCCACTGTAAATTAGGGGCAGAGGGCACTTGCACTACGGTAAAGACAGGTCTGGGCAGGAGGAGAGTTTAGTGCAATCAGTGCACTCCCCTCCTGTGCACCTGCCCAGGATCAGAGCCGGTGCAAGTATTTTTGCTGCCCTAGGCAAAAGAAAAATTTGCCGCCCCCCCATGTGACATCACAATGCCCCACCTATATGATCTGCCATATGAACTAATGCCAACGCTGCACATAGTGTGTGTTTACATTAAAAAGCCTGCAGGGACCGGCTATAGACACCAGAACCACTTCATTAAGCTGAAGTGGTTCTGGGGACTATAGTGTCCCTTTAATGTGAGGTAAATTATAGATTAGTGTCACTAATAATATACTAAATTGCCTACTTACAACCAGATGAGGATGATGATGGGCTGCAGTTTGGCTCCACTGGTCTGGTGTAGAACAGGATCTCTGAAGGCTGTTTGTAACTGTGGTCACAAAATTCAAAGTTCTAGTAGAATGGGAAGCAGCTCAATTTTTTGGGCCCCTTAAACAGCTCAAGGTCTGGGCCCCAGGGCCTGACGGTGAGTATGTCCATAAGGCCCACCTAAAAGTCCACCTACATGTTCCACCCATGAGTTCGCTCACAGGGAGTGGAGTGTGTAGGGGATGTGTTATGTGTTATTGTAGAGGATCTAATGTGTGTGCTTATGGTATGTACTGTATAGGGATACCAGTTTGTGTAGGTGATGCAGTGTATTTGTTTGTAGTGGAAGCAGTGTGTGTTTGTGTATAAGTGATGTATTGTGTGAATCTGTGTTTGTATGCATAAGGGATGCAAGGTGTGTGTCTGTAAGTGTGTGCATCGAGTGTGTGTATGAAATGCACTGTGTTTCTGTGTATATGTAAGAGAAGCAGTGTGTGTGTTTGCATGTGTGTGTAAGGGTTTGCATTGTGTGTTTCTGTGTATGTGTGCAAAGGATGCATTGTCTTTGTGTGTAATGGATGCATTGTGTGTTTCTCTGTGTGTAAGGGAAGCATGTTGTGTTTCTGTGTGTGTAGGAATGCATTGTGTGTTTCTCTGTGTGTAAGGGAAGCATGTTGTGTTTCTGTATGTGTAGGGATGCATTGTGTGTTTGTGTATGTATAGGGATGCATTGTGTGTATGTGCGCGTAGTGTGAAAGAGCTCCCTGTCCTGCCCCCTGTCCTATAGAGCTCTCCCCTGCCCCTTAGTGGTCTCTCACCCCCCCCCCACCCTAGCAGTCACTTCTCACACCCACCCTCCCTGTGCTCTTCTCATCCCAAACCTCTGGTGGTGCTTTTCAGCCCCCTCCTGTGTTCTTCTCCTCCCCAGCCATGTGTTCTCCTCACCTCCCCCCATGTGTTCTACTCACTCCCTCCACCCTCCCTGTGTTTCTTCTCACCTCCCCTTCCTGTGTTCTCCTCATCTCCCCTTCTCCCCCCTCCTCCCTGTGTCCTTCTTACTCTTCCCCCTCTCTCTGTGTTCTTCTTACCCGTGTTCTTCTTACTCCCCTGTTCTTCTTAATCCCCCGTTCTTCTTAATTCCCCCTTTCTTCTTAATCCCCAACCCCCAGGTTCTTCTTAATCTCCCACCCCTGTTCTTCTTAATCCCCCACCCTCCTGTTCTTCTTAATCCCCACCTCTCCCCTTCTTAATCCTTCCCCTTCTTCTTAATCCCCACCCTTCCCCCCTTCTTCTTAATCCCCCCCTCCCCTTCTTCTTAATTTCCCCCTTCTTCTTAATTTCCCCTTCTTATTAATTCCTCCCCTCCTTCATCTTAATTCCTGCCCCCTCCTTCTTCTTAATTCCCCTTCTTCTTAATACCCCCTCCTTCTTCTTAATTCCCCTCCCTTCTTCTTAATTCCCCCTTCATCTTGTTCACCTCCCTTCTTCTTAGATTCCCCCCTCTTAATACCCCTCCTTCTTCTTGAATTCCCTCCCCTTCTTCTTCTTAATTCCCCCCTTCTTCTTAATCCTCCCCCTCCTTCTTCTTAATTCCCCTTCTTCTTAATCCCCCTCCCCTTCTTCTTAATTCCCCCTTCTTCTTAATTTCCCCTCCTCTTCTCCCTTCTTTATTCCCCTTCTTCTTGTTCCCCTTCTCCCCTCCTCTTCTTCTTAATTCCTCCCCTCCTTCTTAATCCCCCCCCTTCACCTTCCCTCCCCTCCCCTGTAGCGTGGCCGAGCTCCTCTCCGGTCCGCGGTGCCCGGCCGGAGTGATAGGAAGGTGCACACTCAGCTCTTAACAGAGCGCTCAGGCGGCTGCAGCATTTAAAGGGCCGGCCCTGCAGCGGCCGGTCTTAAAAGGATTTGGGGCGGCCTGGGGGGCAATTGCCTCCCTTCCCCCCGGCCCAGCCCGCCCCTAAAGATGGCCTTGAGGAAGACTGAGATGAAGATATGGTGGGCAGCTTGCCTTTATTGGACTCAGTCGCACAATTAGTATTTCAAATCTTTTTGGATGTTATGTCAGACAAACTCCTGTCTACTCTATAGCAAGGTGTGGGAGACATCAGAAAGGATATACAAGACCTCAGAACACACGTCACACCTGGAGTTAAGTGCCATGCTGCCACATATTATTAATGATGAAACCACCAAATGATACCGCACTCAAGAAAGAAAGTATATATGAATTCATGTACTTTCTTGAGTGCGGTATCATTTGGTGGTTTTGTATTTTGTGATTTAGGGTCTTTAGAGGTGATCCAGATGCCTGCACCTTTTGTTTTGACAGAGTGCCAAGTATTATTCGGATTTTTTGACTAAGTTGGATTTGTTAAGAGGCAGGGGGCAGATAATACAAAGAAAATATTGTGACATTCTGCACAATCTGTGGCTCACCAGGGGAGGGGAACTATTGGTTTCATTAGATGCAGATATGGCGTTTGCTTGCCTTAAAGGGACACTATAGTCACCTGAACAACTTTAGCTTAATGAAGCAGTTTTGGTGTATAGAACATGCCCCTGCAGCCTCACTGCTCAATCCTCTACCATTTAGGAGTTAAATCCCTTTATTTATTAACCCTAGTCACACCTCCCTGCATGAGACTTGCACAGCCTTCCATAAACACTTCCTGTAAAGAGAGCCCTATTTAGGATTTCTTTATTGCAAGTTCTGTTTAATTAAGATTTTCTTATCCCCTGCTATGTTAATAGCTTGCTAGACCCTGCAAGAGCCTCCTGTATGT